TTTTGTTGTTGTTGTTGTTTTTATCTAGATCTTACATCTTCAGTGTTAAATTTATTCTTGGGTATTCTCCTTTTGTTACTATCATTAATAGAATCTGTGTAAGTTTCCAGTAAGTTTTCTAAAAGGTTACTTATGGCAATATAAAAAATACTGATTTTTATATATTTATTTTTAAAGTAGTAACCTTAGATAATTGTCTTATTTGCTCTTATTGCTTCTAATAGATATTTTCTGTTAGGAAATACTATCTGCAAACACTGATGATGTTCTCATTTTAGACACTTGATTTCTTTTTCTTGCGTTAGTGCATTGCATTGCCTCAAATTTCAGAGCAATGTTAATTGATAGAGGTAATAGCTGCCACCTTGATCTCCATCTGATTTTAAGGGGGCTACCCTCAATTTTCACTGCTAAGTTTCATACTGGCTATTGGTTTGAGGGAGATGTTCTTTACCATGTGAAGGGAATATTACTATAATTCTAGTTTCCAGTTTTTTTCTTGAAGAGGATAATGAATTTTATCAGATGCCTTTTTGCCATCCATTAAGATGAGACAGTCTCTCTTGACCTATTAATTACATTCTGAAAGTCAACTTTATTTAGTCATGGTTTATAGCTGTGTTTAAAATTTAGGAACTTCTGATTATCCATTGAAAAGATTAGGCTATACTTTGTATTACTTTTTTGATGTTTTGTTATTCTAGATTTGAGCTCTGAATTGAGAAATTGTTTTTTTTTCTGTTATTCAACAGTTAAATGAGCATTATTTTCTGCCTTCCTTTACAGTCACTCCAGGCATCTCAGATGCACTGGCCCTGCCAGTTCTGCTAATGCTCTTCCCTCCACTACCATCACCTCATGGTAAACTCCTACTTGCTTCTTAACACCCAGTTTAACCATCAACGCTTCTATATAGCACTCTCCCACCACTCCCATAGTACTAGCACATCCTTTATTCCAGCATTAATTCTACTATATTTTATTTGTCTATTAACCTATTTTTCCCTCTAGAATCTGAGCAGAGACAGTCACGTATGCATTAAAAAAAAAACCTCAATCTCCAGTGCTTATCAGAAGACCTGGCACATAGCACATCGTTAATAACTCTTTGTTATATGAATAAGTCCATAATGCATTTTTGCTTTAAATTTTGCCAGGGAAGAAAATTTGGATGCTATGTATACTTCTTTGCCATTCTTTGACAGTAAAATAGAGATAATATCACTTACTGCCCTTCTTCACACCTGATAGAGTTACTGAGCTGGGATAATAGATGGGCAAGGATAAGGTGAAAGTGAAAGAATTAAATATAAAAATCCATAATAGTGATTAGACTTTCTTTGATATTAACAACAGGTAAAGTGCATTGAGCATTTACTATGTTCCAGGTATGAAATTATCAAATTTATTTCTTATAATAGCCTGTAATTTTAGGTGAGTAAATAAAATTTTAGAGCGCTTAAGTGACGTGTCTGAGGTGAAACAACTGGCGAGTCAAAGACTTTCTGAAATCAGGGTCTGCTATCTGGAAACTATTCTATATCGACTCACCAGTGAAGACAGTGTGCTCCACTGAAATGGGGAAAGCAACAAACAATAAGCCCAGGGTGAAAATTTGGTTACATACCCTGCTTCTCAGGTTTTGCTTAAGTTTAGAGCCTACCAGGAAGAAAGAAAACGATTATCTGCCTCCTTGACTTTTGCATCATTTGTGTTTCTTCTGATGAAAGTGGGGCTAATCGCTGAGTTAGGGTTCCTTTATTTTTAGTCTACACTATGTTGCTTTATCCTAAAAGGATAAACATGGGCTGTGTGATGGCTGACCACCTTTCTTGTTCCTTCTATCAAGGTCTGAAAGGGCACAAGACAGGTAAGAGGAAACAGCTTTCCTTTAGTAAATAAGTTGCTAGATTTCTGAGCTCATGACCCTGAGTTACACGTGAATGACTTTGACCTGTAATCTGAAATAAGATAGACTTCAGGGTTCACCTCCCCCACCATTCCACTTCAAAGGTGAGGTAAGGTAGAGTTGCTAAATGTACAGTATGAAGGGCATCTGGCATTTTACTGTTGACAGTATGCCAGCTCTAAGACCTGCTTATTCCATCTCCAACCATTCCTGCTTGTTCCCCACTCCAGGCTGTGACCCCCCAGAGTGAGTGATAGAAGTGGCAAGAGGTTGTTCAGAAGATTAAAGACCCAAGTCACCAGAGGCTGCCGTCTCGCAAGAATATTTAGACATTTTTCCACTTGGCAGTCATTAATATTCTTCAGCAAAGAGTGAAAAGAGAGCCTGTTCAAAAAGGCTCCCTCTTCAGATCTCTGTACCTTGGAAGATAAAGTGAACGGAAGGGTTTTGTTTTGAAATTAAATATTCATTGGACTGAGTTAGAGCTATTACTGTTCTTGAGAATAAAACTGGATTTTTCCTTTGTTTTAAATAACTACAGTCATTTTACGTTAAGAATTCATTTCTGTACCAAATTGGTCAGGATTAACACATGGTGTGATTTTTCTAATATAATAGATACAACAGGGAAATGAATACAGAAGGGCTCAAAGTATTTTATAGAGGGTATACGAGCAATTTGACATTGCAGAAAAGCTGTCAGAAAGAAACACCATGGAATAGAGGAAAGAGGCTGGGAATCCAACCCCAGGAACTGTGACAGCCTCTGGGTGAGATCTTTGGCTCTGTTAATTGACAGCTGTTGTGGAACATATCTGAGTTTCCGTTTCCTAATCTGTGAAATGGAGAGCATATTCTTTTCCTCTTGGGGTTCGTGTAAAGATTTGGAAACGGTAGCTAGAAAATGAGTGGCACGGACAAAGCAGGAGCACAACAGTGGCAGTGATGATCCCCGTTTTCACATACATACCAAGACTGGTCACTAAATGGCTGGAAAGCCATTTACATCTGTTAACTCTCTCTCTCTTTTTAATCTTCTAGGCACCATTGCTCACATTTCCCTTGAATTTAAACATCTTTTAAAAGCTTTCAAAGCTTGGAAGGTTGATTTCAACGAAACCTGTTTTTATTCTAGGCGTTTTTCCGACTGTCATTCTGAGTAAAACAAAAAACATTTACTGTCAAAACAACAAGGGCTTACTCTCAAGCACAAAATGAAAGCAGATATGTCTGCCTGATTTATTTTGGCATCCACCTAGCAGTTAAATAGGACACCTTTTAATTTGTCACTTCTTTAAGATTCATTTATGTTGGCAAAGTAAGTCCCCAGTGCTTGGTTTCAGCTAAACTTCAACGAGTTGGGTAAAAGAGTTTATTCTTTTTCACTCAGACACACAAGCTTTGAAAGGTGCCAGTTAAAGATGGAACTATGTATTGAGCAGTGTAAGACAGTAACAGCTAATGGATTTTTATTTTTACTTTGAATGGGAGGAACTTAGAAATTGAACTTATTACCAAAGATCCACTAGCAGTCTGAGAAGAGACACAGAAGGTCAATGTTTTTCAAAAAACCTAGGTAGAACTATTTCAAACAGTGAATATCCAGTTATTTTAAAATTAGACTCAAGTATGAGTAAAGAGACCCAGTATTCAAATCTCAACTCTGCCATTTGCTGGCTGGGGAAGTTACTTAATTTATCTGAATCTCAGTTTCTTTATCTATAAATTGGAAAATATCTATCCCTTCCAGGTTGTTTAGAAAATTAGCTGAGGCAATGAACATAGAGCAGCGAGCACCTGCCTGGCACATACTAGCTATTCAACATGTGCAAGTCATTGCTTTTATTAAGAAACACTTCTGGTTTGCCGCGGTGGCTTTCGCCTGTATTTCTAGCACTTTGGAAGTCTGAGGCCTGTGGATCGCTTGCTTGATCTCAGGAATTTGAGACCAGCCTGGGCAGCACAGTGAAACCCCATCTCTACAAAAAAATACAAAAATTAGCCAGGCGTGGTAGTGCGTGTCTGCAGTCCCAGCTACTTGGAGGGCTGAGGCGAGAGGATTGCTTGGGCCCAGGAGGCAGAGGTTGCAATGAACCAAGATCACACCACTGCACTCCAGCCTGGGCAACAGAGTGAAACCCTGTTTCAACCAAAACAAAACAAAAATGAAAACAAAAACTTCTGCAACATTGTCTAACAATTCAGTCCAAGATTGAGCATTTTTCACTGTATGGAAGTTGTTTCTTCTGTCTACTCCACATTTACTTGGCTAGAATCTAAGCCCATTTTCTCATTTTCTCAAAGTTAGCAATAACATCTGTTTAATACCTTCTTTGTAACAAGGCCAGATTGAGGGCTTTTGTTTATGCAGTCATTAACACAACCATTTTTAAACAGTGGTGTTTTTTTGCATCTCAATGACCTAATTGTAATCTGGCTGATTATTTGATTTAGTTACAAAAGGAAATAAAAATCTCACACACACACACACACACACGCACACACGCATACATACATATGTACACAACACCCACGTATATTCATTTTTTTTCTGTTCTTCAATACATACAATCCAGCTTCAGGCCTTTTTATTTTGGTGTGGATTTCGAGGGGAATGTAAAGATAAATACTTCCTTCTTGAGTCCCTTAAAGCAGATGACCTTCAAATGAACAATGGGGAACTCTTGACACTCTAGATTAATCTCCGTTTTCCAATCAATAGTTTAATTGGTTTTTTGTTTTGTTTTAGGGGAAGACACAATTCACAGGGCTAGTCCCAGAGTCTTTCCCAGTTTCAAAAGTCCCATGCTAAATGTGGTCCAAATACCACATCTACCCAGGGCTTGCTTTTTTCCTGACAACATCCTCCTTCCTGTCTGTGGCTGCTTTTCCAAGCATAGCAAGTACTTGAATTCAACTGAGGGCTGACAAATTGACCTTACTCCCCAGTGAAGCTTGCTCTTTTTAGCCCAGGGCCAGGAAAACGGAGGCTGTCACTTGGTCAGATGGAATCTTAGGCAAAGCAATTTCCTCTTCCAATCCAAGCCTGAATATCCAGTGAAAACTTGTAGAATAAAGCCAGGCTAAGGTGTTGTTCTCAAACATGTTTATTTTAACAGTTTTACATGGTGTGTTACAGAAATTAATGGAAAATTTCTAAAAATTTTGCTGTTCTGTTGAATGCATTGTACATAAAGTTAAAAATAATGTGTCCATATATGTTAACAAACTGTCATCTGAGGTAAAGTTAAAGTAGGTCTAGAAATGTACTGCAACAGTCATTTTCTCTTTCTCATCTTTATTAAAAAAATATGTGTCAGAACGCAGAAATTGAAATGAACCAAACCCACAGAGTAAACATTTGTTTAAAAGAAGGTGCCCGGTACATTACATGATGGGGTTTCAGGAGACACTGGGATGAGTACGAGCTATCAAAAAAGTTTTGCGGCATGTAAAGATTGAAGAGCTATGGAGAATGGGGACAAAATGACAGGTGGCGTTTCCCTGGTTTCAAAATTTAAAGTGACAAATTTAGTGCTAGTGGAGGATGAGGAATTAACAGTTGTACACATGGATTTTCTATTGATCTAACCAGAACTGTGCAGACTCCCCATGGTCTTTTGGTATTGGCACCTCAGCTCTTGCTTGGAAATTTCACGGTATTCCTGGGACAGGATACGGTGGTTCCGGGCTCACCAAAACAGTGCTTGGAAAAAAAAAAATCAGAATGCTGCCAATGAGAATATGGATGGCAGTTGAAAAATCTTGACTTTATTTCCCTCACTTTAATGCATCACTTGGGCATCTTCTTGAAGTTCAGAGCCAGTTATATTTTCAGTCATGTCCAATGAAGGAGGACAAGTCCCCTGGACTTTCACCTTCTGCTAGGAAATTAACTCCAGATGGTATACCTGAAACAGCAACATCAGCCAGAGTTCCCTTTGAATGTGTCAGAAGCAACTCAAAGAATTGGTATAATGGTGTGATACTGCAAGACAAACTCAAGACAGCCATATTGAGGGAGAAGATAGCACCACTTGTTTAGAATCAAATCATAGTCAACAAAGCAATTTAAGCAATTTCCCATGGGAACTGCCTATCTTATCAAATCCCCAGAAAACACTTGAACTGGTCTCAAGCCAACTCTTACAGTCATTCCACCTTTCCCATCTTCCCCTTCATGTGAAAGGGCTACCTAATCATAAAATGTTTGCTCATTCCTTGAGAAACTCTGTGGACCAACAGGTGATAGCTACAGAGGGAGGTAAACGGCCCTTCTCACTTTTCTGGTTCTTCGGACCTTCCACATTAGGATGACATTGACATATATTCTTGAATAGACATTTGGTCAGTTTATCTAACTGAAAAAAAAAATTAGACTCCTGTGACCTGATAGTGTAAAATGTGGGCTTTAAATGATAACCATTACCTTGATGTATCACTTTTCTCTTTGTGAACAAGTATACAATCATTTTCAAATCAATCTCCCAAATCATTTTAGTTTCTATTGATATGAAGAACCAAATACAGGCCTATTCAAATCAATCATATCAATGGAAATTCTACTTTTCAAATCTTAAAACCAAATAATAATTATTCCCAAATCCAATTAATCACACGAATCTTTAAAGTTTTCTTCTTAGTGTTAAAACACTAAATTCAACATACTGTAACTGCATAGGAACATCAGGAAAACACACTTGACCTGTATAACAATTCTCTGTAGGGCAAAAATATATAGATTCTTTATGAAAATCATGTGCTAAACATACGAACCAAACACTGCACTTTTTGTCTCATAAGTGTAAAAAAAGGAAGCTTAGCCTCTTCTGTTTCACGTACAAACAGTCCAGTGATTTATATGGGGTAGGTGGGAGTGGGGAGGTGGGAGAGTTTCAGAATCTGAATTCTTCAGAATGTGAATTGTCTTTTTCTTGTGTTGCACAGAGGGTGGGGACTCTCGTGGAAAGGCTAGATGATGGAGTCACGTGCTCCCTTCTCGTTCACTAGCTGCTGATTGGCCAACTGCTCGTGCCAGCGGTCCCTGCACTCCAGCTTCCTACCATATGCTCCAGAATAACATCTGGAAAGTGAGCCCCATCCATCAAGTTTGTCACACCTTGCACTCAATCTGCTACCTTCTCTACAGTGTAATGGCATTATTAAAAAGCATTTTCATTGACATTTATATTTACAAAAAAAAAACAACAACAATTTTTTTTTTCATTAGAACTCCTTAAAGCCATTTCCCTTAAATATTTAAAGAGTTTAATGGTAAGGTTTTTTTTTTTTCAAGTTATAAAATAAAAATCCCATTTGAATTTTCTGATGTACAAAAAGAGATAGAGATGAACCATTTGGACCACGGAATCAGTTTGTTATTCTGAATATGTATGCCACCATTGTTCCTTTAGAAAGTTGGTTTTTAAGATCCAAAACCACATTACCAGAATTGTACCAGAATTATTTGGCAAATGACTTTTCTTTGAAAATGGCACGTGGAGAAGACACTTGTCTGCATAGCATCACAGCAGCAAGATATCGGAAAAATAAAAAATATCATTTTATTGTACTTAAGAGTTTAGAGCTTCTTAAGAAATCAGATGCATTTTTTCATCTTTCTCATCAATGGGATCTGATGTCTTTTCCTACTCACAGAATGAAGGTTCAAACTGAAAGCTGTCTTTCTTCACCAGGATGCAGAATAGCTAAAGGATTGTTTTGGCAACATTCTTGATCATAACAAATAATCAACCACTTATTTGTCTTGTAATTTCAAGTTAATTCATTTCACTGAGGCTTTTTTTCTCCCCAGTTAGATTTCTTCACCCATATTTAAAAAAAGTCAAAAGCAATACAAAAATTTGTACACCTACTAATTTTCAAACATGACAAAGAAAGGAAAGGGGGGAAAATGGCAGACCAGGCCCCATGGAGTGACAAAAAACACATCATCCTATGTGAAAAGGCATATGGATGATGATATTGTGGTCACAGAAGACCCTTTGCTTTTGCTTAAAGAAGTCAGTTCCAACCCTGTTGTAATCCTCTGATGCCTGTCACTCCAAATTTGGTGTCTCAACAGTGGTCAACAGGTAGAGAAATAAAAAGGGAATTAATAATTTTGCACACTGGGTCACCTTAAACCCAGCTATGAGGGCTCAAATATTTGTTGGGTAAGCATTTGCTTGATTTGCGATTTAATGTTGGGTGGATCTTTCTATACTTTTCTGTGTGTGCTGCCATAGATATCTGCCATTGGTTGCCAAAAACGCTTAGTACCCTCTTCTGAGCGAGTTCCATTGGGCAATCATGAATTTCTTGTGGGATGAGGTGAAAGAATACAAGAGAGCCTGTCGTGATGCTGATGTCCATGCCAGTCTTGAGCACCCACCACGAGCTCGCATCGATGCTATTTCTTAGGTCTGTTGATCTGCGCGTAGAGAGGCTCCGGCTCCTGTGGATAAAGGAACAAAGTGAGGCCTGCCCTTTCCACGTGCATGGATTTTCTGAGACAGCTTTTGGAAAACGGGTTTAGGATTAAAACAGAAAAGTGACAGTTTATGATGGATGACCTTAGGTTATTTTTGGAGTATTTGATGAGGGTGCATATCATTTTGGCAACACTTTTATCATCCAAAATAGCTATGCACTCAGTTCTGTCTTTCGTATTCAAGTTGGAACTGATTGCCCTGTTAGGGAAATAGCATGGTATAGTAGGGAGTTAGAAAAGCTGTGTCATGTGGACAAGATACTTATCCTGAGTCTTGGTTTCTCCAACCACAAAATGGGAATAATACTGTTTATCCTACAGGGTTCTTGAGGGAATTAGAGATTGCATATATAAAGTATCTAGCACAATGCCTGGTAGCAATACTTCTTCAGAAAATGCTAACAATTACTGTGAGTCAAGTGGACATTTTTCCAACACAGTTTCATAAATGTCCACTTGAGAACCCTGAAATTCTATTTCAAATTACTCTTCTACAAACAGTGATGCCTGGGTGCACTGTTGAGCAAGAGAAACAGCAAGTGTGTCTTTGGCTTTTAATTACAAGCTTCTGGACTTGTTTCCATTCAATCTGAGACCTCCGCTTTAGCCAATCATTTGCCTACACCCAGGGGGCTGTCCTGAAGCACAAACAGGGATTTTCAACCAGCATGTAATGCAGCACACCTGCAATCCACACCTAGATAGGAAACAGTGTTCCACCCTATTTAAACCACGTCAGACTTCAGCTGATGTTGAGATGGCTCACTGTGCACTGGCCAAGAAGACTTGATGGATACTGTGGTTTTAAGCATGCACAGGACCTGCTATTAAAATTGACCTTTATGCTGTCACTCTTGGAGGTCTGTGCCAGAATTAAATGGACACTAGGAAATTCTAATTTTACCATATTTTATATATTAGCTTGTCTCCTGCCATGTCATATAGGTTATTATTATTTGCTTATTTTCTTGAAACTTCAAAATGAATTGGCATTCTGGGAGCCCCTACCATGTGTCTGGCACCATGCTAGGTATTTTCAAGTACACTGTCTTTTTATCTCATCACAACGGCCTTGTAAGGCAGATGCTTTCTCTCTTTTGCAAGGGTGAAATTAAGTACAGAGAAGTTAAATAATTTGCCCACGGTCACACAGTTAGTAAGTCCAGAGACATGAGGACTGAAAACAGGGTCCAGGGGCCAGTGCTTTTTCTAGTCTTTTACAACAGTGACCATTAGAGACAGAGAGAGAGAGAGACCCCAATCCTTCCATCTGTAAGTGCTTCAGAGTTTACAAAGCACCTCATGTCTTATTTATCTGCCTTATAGTCCTGGGGGTGGCTTTTATTTTTTGAGTCCTCCCTTTGCAGACAAAAACTGAAGTTCTGAGAGGTTGTGTGATCTCAAGGTCATTGTGCTGTCTCTCGTGTGTAGCATATCATATTGCTTGCTTTCTACTGTAAAGTGGAATGGCCTAGAAGATAAGGTTGTCCCGGCCCGTCATTGTACAGATGAGGAATCTGAAGTCCTGTGAAGATAGCTTTTGTTTCTTCAGAGTCACAGGGTTACTTAGTATCCATGCCAAGGTAGACCCCAGGACTCCTGCCATCAGATCCAATTTCTAGTTCCTCTAGAACTTGTTATGTTTGTATTCTTCCAATGGGAAGGAACTGCTTTCCTTGAGGCACCCTATTATGCAGTGTAACAAAGTGCCAACTTGTCCCTCCATGCCTTCCACCCATAGACTTTCTACTGCCCTTGGAAATGTAAATAAGTATAATCCTTCTTCCAAATGTCTGATGACAGAAAAGTATGGAAGCCCATTCTTCCATGTCCTACTTCTAGGTTACCACTTGCCAGTTCCTTCTGCCATTTTACAAATATGAACCTAGCACAGTACGTCCTCAATGAGAGTCTGTTGAATTACTGAATGACTATAATGCTGTTTCTAGTTTCCTCACAGTTCTGATCCCTTTGTCCTAAATACCTAAATACACTCCAATTTGGCTTTATTCTCTCAAAATCAAATGTAGCAAAATCTATAGTAAGATTATGATTTATTAAACACCAAATCTATTCCTTTCCAGTTTCTTGAACGATTTCAAATACCTGTTGTAAGGCTAAACATGTAACTTTATTGCGTGTTTGTGTTCTATAAGTGCGGTGGGTGGAGTCAAAAATAGTTAAGTGCAACTATTGGAGAAAAACATTTTTGTTTTTTGTTTTTTGCTTGTGCTGGGCTTCAAGGACGCATCTTAATGTTTCCTGGGTAGACGTTTTCAGCCCATTCTTCTTTTTGGATGCCCCAAGAAGTCAGGCTGCCTTGATCTCACCCTACAATTTGCTCTATTCTAATTTTGGAAACTAATTTATCCAACTGAAAATGACACCTAAAAACAGAAGAAGACAGCAGGCTTAGACAGGGTAATTAATGCCACACTGCATTAACTTTCTGCAGCTGAGATAAATATTCACACATCTCCTGCTTGCCGGAATTTAGCTTCAAATACCCATCACAACAGCAGTAACGACTGCAGTCAACTCTCAATTATCCCCACTAATGAAGGGGAGCAGTGGTGTGGAAAACCCCAAGCAGCAGATAATCCCAAAGTCTGACACTGTGATGCACTATACGTTTTGGCAATAGCTCTACCTTCCTTGTTACGGAATCTTAGACTGTCAGAGTTAGAGGGGAGCTAAGGAATCATTTGATTCAGAAATTTCCAACCTGGCCTCTGGCAAGGTCATAACGGGGTCTTGGAACTATTTTCAAAATTCCAAAAGCCTAAATGGAATCACACATTAACATAACATGCTGTTGATGTTTTTGTTTCGTTTGTTTGTTTTCTTTTGGCAGATTTGTCCACGTCTCTGCCCTGCTTCAAATCCTTCAGAGGCTCCCCATCACCCACAGGGTAGGTCAAAGCGCCTTCGCCGGGCACACAAGGCCCATTAGTCTCTTAGTCCATTAGAGATAATAAATACCCCTTCTAGACCATGAATCAAAACTCCACCTTCAGGTCACATAAATAATGTTAAAAAAATCTTTCTTTATGCTTCTCCAGGATGATCTTTCTGAAATGGATTTGTCCATGCCAATCTCCTGCCTGGAACAGCCGTCTTGGCTCCTTGTCACTCAAAGGAAAAGGCAAACTCCTCAAGACTGCACATAACGTCCACCTTCCCAACTACCCTCAACTACTGCCACTCTCTCCTACACCCTACCTTCCAAACCCTACTTGGGGTTCGTTCTCCCATGCTGGAATTTTCCCATCTCTGAGACTTCATTCAGGCAGTTCCTTCTGGCTTCGGAGCCTTCTTTGTTCCTAAAGTTCATACTTTAAGATCTAGCTGAAATAACAAGGCTTCCTGGATGCTGCAGGTGACATGAGCCACTGTGCTCCTGGATACTTCAGAACCTGTGCAGATCTCTGTCTTCACTCCTACTATGGCATCTCCTAGCATGTTCTACACTGAGCTCCACTGGGCCTTGCATGTCAGTATCCTGAATTCTGAATGAAGCTTGGAACATGGGAGGTGCATCCACTAACAACATGAAGAATGAAGATATGAATGAGTAAATGAACAGTTCTTTTCTTAGTGGAAGTTGGCAAATACTTGTGAACTTTAATATGATTCTGACATATTAATATCTTTATTTTTAGATAACAAAGTAGATGGAAACCATATAGTAAAAGTTAAAGCAAAATCCACCCTTTACCCTTTCTGTAAGTGAAACACCCTATTTTCTCAAAGGTGCAGTAAAAGAGCAGAAGCAAAGGAGACTAAGTCATGCAGGCCTAGCTTAGTGTTCTCCTGACAAGGCTCTGCTGCAAAGACCAACAGGGACATATCTGTAGTTGAACATGTTGGGTTATTCCTCACCACAGAGGGAGGAGCAATGAGGCATCTCTGGAAGAGGGTATTAGAAAGAATGTATGATAAGATTTGGTCTTAAGGTGAGTGATTTGGGGGATGGTCAACAAAGTGGGGTTTTTCTCTGAATTGGATGCTGTCATAATGTGGGGGTAATTCTGTGATTATCCTAACAATACTTATCTGGAAGGCACGAAGAACAGAGCAAGGCTGAAACCAGGCTAGAGAAATGTTTCATCAGTTTTCCCGTTTTGACAATGTTCATTTTTTTGCCTGTGTTCAGCCCTGATGACCTGGTGGTCTTGATTTTGTCTTGACCTATCGCAGTCACTGAGGTGCCTTGTCTGATGCTGATGGTATGTGAAATGTTGATGTTCAGCAGGAGAATGCCAGGACCTCGCTGTGGGGGTGGGCCTGCACCTGACTGTCAGAGGCTGCTGTTCTTTTTCTTACCATCACACATTTAGCAGCCCTAGGATTCTGTGTAGGGCACTTAACATCTTTGGGTGCCAGTTTCCTCATCTGTAAAATGAGGCTAGAAATCCCCTCTGTGAAGGGGAACACATGTTGATTGTCTAGCACAGAGTCTGAAACATATGAGATACTCCAAAAAACATTAGGTCCCTTATGTCTGGGAGTGTGGCTTCATCCTCCCTTTATAGACAATGGTTTTAGGCCTAATAATCACCTGTGGGTTTCTTTTCAAATGGCCTCTCCTTCATAGCACATAGGTACAATTGCAGATGAGCTCTCAGTTATTAATATAAGAATGGTGCTGGATCAGCCCAGGGAAATTGTGCAGAATGAATGTGGAGTTAATGCAAACAACCTGGCTGCAGGCCCCTGTGGGTAACAGAAATTTCCACCGTTTGTAGACTACTCCATACATCCTTTAACTATCTATGAATTATGTGCTCAACTACAGCAGCCAAGTGGACTCACAGAACTGGAGTAATAATGATATGTCTCTACAGAAACTTTTACAGTCTATATATGGTCTTTCCAATGTCACATGATCTTACTCGAGCTACACACCAGGACCGTGCCTTTAGTGCTCCTGTCTTCTTTCTTTTTTTTTTTTTTTTTTTGAG